CCCTGGCCGACTCGCAAAAGCGTGAAAGCGCGCGTTACGCGATATTTATATCCTCCGATCAGACTTGAACCCCACCACTCGCAATCAACCAATGAGCGCGCTGTGGCGCGATGCTCTGCTACAAACGCGATTCAACCTGATTCAACCTGCGCGAGCCTGCGCGAGCCTGCGCGAGCCGCGATCTGCCCAACGTGAACGATATGAGTCAATTCGGTGGTTATACTGGTTATGCTGTTGTTACTGTTGTTAGTGTCGCATGTATTTGCATCATTTTACTTCGATTGTAAAATGTGAAGCGTAACTGCATGATATAGGTACTAATTTGTTTAAAGACGATTTTCGTCCGGTCGTACGTCAAGTGAAAAAGTCGCTAAGGATAAGATTGGAAACTGACGCCCGAAATTTCCTCTAAACTCTGATATGGATTAAGGTTATAGCCGTCGACCTAGGACAATTTTGAAACTACACAAGTGTAAAAAAAACGCTTAAACATTTGACAGAAAACATCTGAATTTTAGCCTGTCACATTTCATACAAGGTTCTTGTACAACATGACTTCGTTCTTAGTGAATGTACTAGCTACAGCAGGTAGTATTTACAAATTGCCACGTTTGTAATAATTAGGCCCAATCGTCTATCAATAAATTAACTCTAATTTCAGTTTGATTTACTTTTTATATTATAATATTTATTTTTACCAATATAGATTACTATTGGTTTAATTAAATTTGTATCTTTTTTGTAGTCTTATAAAAAATTATAAAGATATTTAACAATTAAATTAAATCAAGATTAAAGTTAACCTACATTGGTAGAAAATGGACATTAGGCAGCCAGTGAATACGAAATACAATTCTGTCTTATAAATTTAAAACATTTTTCTATAGTCAGATATAGCATTTGCAGGCAATGTAGTTATACATGATATTTAGAACAAAATATGTAACCAAGGCCTGATTGCACTAACATGATTTCGATTTTAAGTGAGACTTAAAACTGTCTCTATCTCAGTCTCTCTTTCAACTTTAAAACGAGATAGATAGAGTTTTAAGTCTCGTTTAAAATCAAAGTAACATTGGTGCAACCAGGCCTAGCAGTTTTTTTTTTATCATATAGGTAAACTTGAGAAAGTAAATCTTCATAAAAATATCACCGAGATACAGAAAGAAATAACCAAATTAGAATATGAAGTTAAAGATTTTATGGATGACAATTATGTTGAGTTCAGTTCAAAATTAACAAGAGATGTACATCTAGTTAAAAAGACAGAGCAGCTGTTGGAGGAGATAGGTATTTTGCAGAGCAGAATAAATGATCAAGTATGGTTTACCAATACCTGTTGTATTAAACTTGTGATAAAACAAACATTTGATATTATTACATTTATCATATAGATCAAAATAGAATTGTCTAGTTCAACGAAGGAGTTGAAGACCCTCTCCCAGGCGTTAAAGGAATCCAGTATCAGTTTGCAACTTTCCCATCAGCTGATAAGCATACACAAATGCATAAAATCTATACAAACAACACAAAAGGAAAAACAGTACATCGATACTGCCAAAATTCTACAGCAAATACAATCTCTGCTGAATACTCATAGTCTCCTGCATGATCTCGAAATATACACTGCAATCAAGAATGAATACTGCAATCTCTCTCGTTCATGCTTGATGGAAGCCTCTGGCCTTTTACATGATCGAATCTGTTGGAGCAATGATATGAAGGAAAGCGAAACAGTTAACTCTATCTGTATTAAAAACAAATACGATGATATACAGGAATTAATGCAAGGATTAGACATTATGGGTCATTTTGAAAATGAATTAGAAGTTTTTTCTACAAAACTAATGGACTTCATAATCAAACCTATCATTTATGATCACTGTTCGGTATATGTTGTCAAGGAGAAAGAATTTACCGTCGAGATATTGGAGAAAAATAAGATGCTATGTTACAAAGGTGTACTGTACAACATGAACTTACTCTTCAAGTTTCTCCATCAACATTTAAATCTGACAGTGAACAATGAAACCTTCCTGAGAAGATTTCAACCACATTTGCTGGAAAAACTGTCACATCCTTTAATAACAGATTGCCTCTCTCACACCATTCCAACTTCTAATGCAGATCTGAAAAACTTTGAGCCTGTAGTCGAAACAATTAATGAATTTCAAAACTACTTGGTAGAAATTGGTACTTATGTTTAACTATTTTATAAGAGACAAAAGTGTATGCTATGTGTATATTACAAAAGGTTAAATGATGTATAATTTCAGGATTCCTTTCTGAGGATCAACTGTTCTTGTCAGAGTACACAAATAACATTGATAAGCTCTTCATTAATAGGATATGTCAGGATTTACTAGCCAAAGCTAGAAATATAATGAGAAAAGATTTGCATGATTCCGTTCGGTACGAGCCGCAGGTATTCACTTCACTATTGTATTAAAATGAGAAGCTTATATTCAGAACATACTTTTATTTCTACTTTTATTCCTATTTTGTAGTATATGTAACATAAACTTATATGTAGTTATTATTATAAGTGTGTTCTGAATACCAGCCATAATGTAGATTTGGTTTTTAATTGTTTTGATTTGTTTTTAATTGTTAGGAACCGCCTAAGCTTATAGATAAAGTATTCGAAAACGACTGCGAATTACCTATTGAAAAGAAGTTAAGCGATATGTCATTTCATTTACCAAAATGTCAAATAAGGTACTTGATTCGATTAATAATAGTAATGAATTTAATATGCATGAATTTTATGAATTCAAATTTTGACTTTTTCCTAGTACTCTGTGATGCTAAATATGAATAATACTAAATTCATTTTAGCAAAAGTGCACAAGAAACACTAGAATTAGCAAAAATGATATTGGACGAGGCTTGTGATAGTTCGGATGCTTGCGCTGTTAGATTATTTTATACATGTAGGAACGTATTCGAAATGTATGCTGGTTTGGTGCCTGAGCATCATAAAAAGTTCTTAGAAACAATACCGCAACAAGTTGGTAAGAATAATACATAACAGAAACGAACTAATTCTAACATGAATAAAATGAATGTTAAGTAATTATTACTGCAATTATGTTTTAGCTTTGTTTCACAACAATTGTATGTATCTTGCCCACCATCTGCTTACACTACCACATGAATACAGAAATAAATTGTCAAAAATTGTACAAAAATTGAATTTAACTTTTGCTGATCAAGTCACGATACTTCGAGATGTTGGGTCACAATGTTTCCTAGATCATATGAGATATCAAAGGAATATTATCTTTGATATCATTAAAGATTCAGGTTTATAATTTACTTATTAACTACGAAGAAACTTGAAGATGGAAAAAGATTTAGCTAAAATTTGTTTATAATTAGGTTTCTCAGGATTAAGCCAAGCGCCTCAGTTAGATCCTAGCACCGAACGTGCATTAAGACAATGCATTAGACAATTGGAACTATTGAAGACCGTATGGTTGGATGTGTTGCCTATAAATATCTACTGTAAAACTGTTGGTTAGTTTTTCTATTCATCAAATTCTTTATTGTTGTATTTTAACGAATTTTTAATTTTTTTACATTACAGGATGTATAACGAATTCTATGATTGACGATTTAATAACGAAGGTCATATCTGCCGAAGATATTCCTATTGATGTTGCGACAGAACTGGTAACTTTATTTAATATGGTTGTAAAACGAATGCCGCAGATATTTCCTGTAAGTATAAGATTTAAAAAAAAAAAATTTAAAAAGATAAAGTATATCGGTATACAAGAAGTTTAATATGATATAAATTTTTATTGCATTTAATGTCGTACATTTGATATGATAATGAGTTGCTCGAGATAGTAGCATTCCAACTGGTTCCTGTAAAAGTTAAGCCATAACAACATTATTCTGCTTAACGTTTTTCATTTTATAGGATCAACAGATTCAACATCATGTACGTAAATGGAAGAAATTTTTGGAGCTTATTAAGTTACTTGGTGCGTCATTGAAAGAAATCGAATTTAGATGGGGAAATGGAAAAGGACCATTAGCACAGGAATTCACTGCTCCACAAGTTAAACAATTGGTCCGTGCAATCTTCCAGAATACGGACAGAAGATCTAATCTTTTAGCCTCTATAAGATAAAAATGTAAAATACAAAATTTCAAATACATATAAATAATATATAATAAAATAAATAAATAATTAAGTTTGCACCATATATGCTTACGTTCTGTATTAAAATTGAATATGGAAAATAGCTCAAAACGAAATCAACTAAAGAGAAGATAGTCATGTAATTTTATATACTTTTGTATAAAAAATAAAAAAATACAGTATACCTCTCTCTGATTAAAAATAAAAAAAGTACAATACCTGTATCATCATACATATACGTACACCCGTACGTAAATACACACGTACGCCTTAATATGCACACAGGACGTCATTAAAAATTTTATTTTTCAATTATTTATTTAAAATTAAAATATGTGAAATTGATATTGCGTAAAAAATTAAATTTTAAATATTAAAATGAAATTGACAATTATAATTAAAGCATTTAATAATTTAAGTTCTGAATATATAACTAATGATCAACAAAATTTTTTATTAATGTTAAATGGTTTTTAATAAAAAATATTGTAATAATATACTGAAAAAATATATTATTTAAATATTTTTATATAATAATTAAATACATTTTTTAAATATAAAAATTACATTATTTTGATGCTGTGTGATTCTTGAAGACAGAGAAGTTGGCATATATTTAAAACGCAATTTTACGATGATAGTGCGTATTTAAAATATAATTCACATTACTGTATAGTTTCAACATTGAAACACATTCTGAATATAAGCTAGAAACTATATTCGTATATATGAAAATTAAATACCAACATCATTTTTATAAAATAATGTGAACTACGTATCACATTTTCGACACTGTCGATAAGATCGTAGTGTCGATGCACAGTCGATACATTTGGTGTATATTGTTCAAAAGTTATACATAACCTAAAAGATTACGCATGGTTCGTACGCAAGCAAGGTTTTTAGACGTCCATCCAGCATCCAGGTGATTAAGAAGAATAAAAAAAAAACAAAAGGTAAGATTAAATTCTATTAATTTCTTTTATTCGAAAAATATTTAAAAAAACGAACGCTTTTACAGTAGTGACATTGTATTCTCGATCATTTTTTGAATCGCACTAGAATGAATAGCTCGAAGAAAACGCAAAAGACCGGCCCGATCGACAATGCATGGTCGTTGAAAATACCAGAATTTAAAGAAGAGGATAATCCACATCGTCTTCTCGTGGAAAGTTCATTTGCGACAATGTTTCCAAAGTACCGCGAGCAATATTTAAAGGAACATTGGCCTCTGATTCAAAAAGCGTTAGCCGAGTACCACATCAAGGCTGAGCTGGATCTAATTGAAGGAAGCATGACAGTGAAGACTACAAGGAAGACTTGGGATCCATATATAATCATCAAAGCACGCGATGCGATCAAGCTTATGGCTCGTTCAGTTCCTTTTGAGCAGGCTGTTAGAGTTCTCCAGGATGACATCGCCGCAGACATCATAAAGATATCCTCCTTTGTCAGAAACAAGGAGAAGTTTGTCAAAAGGAGGCAAAGGCTTATTGGACCAAATGGATGTAGTCTGAAATCCATTGAACTGTTGACTAATTGTTATGTTGTGGTTCAAGGCCAAACTGTTTCAGCACTGGGACCTTATAAAGGTGTACAACAAGTAAGAAAAATAATAGAAGATACTATGAAAAATGTTCATCCAGTTTATAGTCTCAAGACATTGATGCTTAAACGAGAGCTTTCTAAAAATCCAAAATTAAAGAATGAAAATTGGGAACGATATCTTCCTAAGTATAACAGCAAGAATATAAGTAAGCGCAAAGAACCAATGAAAAAGAAGGAGAAGAAACCGTACACTCCATTCCCACCACCTCAACAAGAAAGCAAAATTGATAAGGCAATGGCATCTGGTGAATACTTCTTAAAGGAGGAACAGAAGAGGGCGAAGAGAAAGAAGGAACAGGAAGCGAAACACGAAGAGGCAACCAAGAAGAGACAGGAGCGTAGAGCACAAGCATTTGTACCACCTGAAGAAAAACCTGTTGAAAGTGAAACTGCAAAGACTGACATAGACATTGCTGAAATAAAAAAGAAAGTTCAAAAAGGATTGATAAAGCGTTAAACAAAATAATACATGTGGTCATTTTTTTAAACATTAATGACACAGTATGAGATATAAAGAGATGTAAGAAATTAAGTTGTTACACAAATATATATATCTACGGAAATATATTCCGTTATTTTATTAGAAAAACTCATTTTTATATAATTATTGTATTATCGCATTCTTAACATGTATATATATATATATATATATAATTATTTTACATTTGCAAAATATATATAGAGCAGAGGAAATTCCAATTCAACATTTTGAAGATAAATATACCTAGAATACATATTTTTCAATATCTTTCCTTGCTAAATCTTACAGAATATATTCCGCATATTTTAAAAATATGAAACAGAATTTTAAAGAATGATTTCGAAAATTATTTATCATGTTTTTCTGTTTTTTTAAGTTCTACTTTTAATTCTTCTTAGTTTTGATCAGAATATTTTATTCCAAGTATATAATATCTTCAATATGCACCTTGCATGATTCAATGCAAACGCCATTTCAAATCCTACAGCAAAATTATTGTAATTTGAAAGTAGCGGATGCCGAACTGACACTTGTTTCTTGATATCTAAAATTGCTCTTATCAGACAAAATATTGCACTAATGCATCGTATTTATATATGACAAGAATGTAAATGCTCGTTCAATGTACAGCGTTCTTATTCTATCGGCACCACAATTTCGCTTCTCGAGTATAAATTTTCATATTATTGGACACATGAATATTAATATTGATTGGTTATCCGCTATATATATAAATTATAAGATTGAGAGTCGCCCAATATTTTACATTTTTACCGATCTTGGAAGTACGCGACATTCGTTAAATTGTATTTATATGCATTATAAATATATGTATATGTATATATAATTTTTATTTACAGATACACGAAGTACGATTGTATGTGGCGATTCTTTTTTTTACGAGAAATTTACGCACTGAAGCGGTATATAAGTATTCACACTGATAGTGAAAGAAGCTATATGAAATAAAGCCTTGTCCAAAAATATTAAGCATCTATATTTTTTTAATTTAAATATACATAAGTTTGAAGGACTCTTGAAACAAAAGTAATTTATAGTATAAATGCCATAAATAAATTTTTTAGATAAAATTTAAATAATGATTAACAAGCCTAATATTTTTGGTTAAGGCTTTGTAGGCAGGACGGGAGGAAGATAAACAATAAAATATACATAATTATTTACAACAATTCTTATAGATTATATGAAACATAGTTAAGTATCATGGATCTGTATTTTTATGCAGTCATACACATAAATTCGATATTCTGTTGTTTTCTGCATATTTTTTTATAATAATTTTATATATAACATAGATCAAATCAAATCAAATTTTTTTCTTGATAAAAGAACGATATTAACTATGAGTTGGAAAGCGCAGTTTTATTTAGCAATTAACACAGGCACTGTAACTTTCTCTAATTGTCAGATTTAATTGCCAAAGCATTTGATATTAAAAGTTAAATATTCCGTTAATTAAGCTTAAAATTATTTCTCTATTGAGCGATGTCCGCCTTAAAATTATCTGAAAACAAAGTTTCTACGTACGCTGAAGTTGAATACAGCAAAATCCTTTAATTCCAATGTTAACTAACTCCGTAATTATACCTCCTTTTCAATCTTGTACTAAAGGAAAGTTGACTCAGTCGGAATCCTTCAAAGAATCTGCAGTCGAAAGGAAACGCGAAAACGATACGCGTATAGGAATATTTTGTGTACATATTTACTATCTACGTATATATCGCTGTGTGTCAGTTCTGATTAAAGAAAGACGCTCTAAACATGCTTATTGTGATAATAAAATGATAAAAATCAGCAATTTTTTGACATTTTGATTTTTAAAAGCGGCTCGCGAGATCATTATATCGCAATCGTTTAATTAGGGCATGGCCAAATATTATATCTACATTAAAAGTATAATCGTTCTACGCATACAATATCGATATCAAAAGAATGTCTTAACAGATTTTGCTACACACACAGTTAGCGTAGATGTAATATGGATGCCCGTATTATATACAAAAGTTTATACGATATTATTCATTTCACTTCGCGATATTTATAGTCCGAACGCGAAGAGACGGCAGTAAGACATTATCGTCGGAAAGTATAAGTGTACAAAAGATCGTGTCTGCTAAGGTGTATTGTTATAATTAGTTACATCAGTTTCGATCTTGATTTTCACTTAACACATTGTAGGTAAGTAATGGATTCATACGGCGCTGCCGTTTTATTTTAAATTCGGTTTATCCTCTTGAGAAAGAATTTTCGTTTTTTATAATTTCATTTTTACTGAGAAATCGAACCTCTAATATTGACTATTATTAATATAAATTCCAACATTAGAAAAGAGCTGAAAGACTTAAGAATTAATATAGGTCTTCAAAAAGTATAAATTCAAATTTTTGAAATGGTATTACCGAGCTACAATATGTTAAGTTCACATATATCCCACAATTTTCGTTTATTTGCACAACCAAGTAAGTATATAATTAGTTATAAAAATAAATCTCTTTTTTACGCATGCTTTTAAAGGAAAAGCATTTTGTTCATCGCATTTGTTATTTGATTGAGAATTTTCGCGGATTTAGATACGCCGTGTATACTAAGATTAGATAAAAAGAATACGCATTGCATAAACCTAGCATTGATTTTGGGCCCGGTTAAAATAGCAATTTCAATCACTGCGAAGTATCCGTATTTTAGAACAATTGCAAAGCGTCTTTCAAATTCTTTAAATAGATACGAAAACGATGTATACTTCATTAAAATTTATTAAAATTGAGTGTTTTTAATTAAACGGTGTAATATATATCGATAACATAATATAATAATAATTGTCTCTGTACGTATATAGTCTTAAATAAATAGCAAAAAACTTTCGCGCGATCTGCATAAAAGCGTAATCTCAAAATGGTATTTGTGATAAAATTATCAATTATTTAAAACAAATAAAGCCAAGTGTAAAAGCTTTGGCTTATTTATTTAAAAAAATGCACGTAAATAAATACATAAAAAAAGATGAATTGCCCTCGATTAAACACTCAAGTACATATCGTACTAAAAACACCTCGATATCACTTTTATTAAATCTTTTTTATGGATTTAATAAAAACATACATAAGAAAGACATTGTCAGTTTATATTGCACTAAAAAATAAATTAAATGTTCTAATTCTATTTTGAATGCCCGAATTTCTAATCAACTTTTTTGTTGCATAAACTCTCTTGTTTTTGATTATTATGTACAATATATAAAAAAAAGAAATTCGACTTCGTTATTCTTTTATCATTCTTTTAGTAATAGTTAAATTGTATCAGTTAATTTTCATTCAAAGCATTACTAGTTTTTATAAATTCGCTTTCAATCTGTCCTTTCAATTTCCAATATTAGTTGAAAAATAATGATATAATAATTATAAATTGATTATTATATAATTCAATTGAATACATAAATTATATTAGCGAGAGTACTAAAAAAGCTCTTTGTAAAGTACTTATTTCTATATTCTGTATGAATTTTGACAAGATATTGTGAATATTGAAGAATTAGTCGCTCATACGTAATATATTATATATATTTCTTTCAACCTTTGGGTAATGATTTTCCCCAAGTATGTAGTATGATTTTTTTTCCTAGAGAAATGAATATCTGATAATTATAAAATATGTATATGATAATTCATTGCGTATGCATTTCCAATTATTCATTAATTTTTTCTTTTACATAAAAGCTCAATTTTTTATAATACTTTAAACTTAAAAAATTAGAAATTTCTATAGATTTCTTATAGATTTCTTCAAAGTTAAAATAATTTTTGTTTGTTTAAATCAATCGTACTATGTATAAAGTATCGCAATTTGTAAATTCGATATTTAAAACAGTATGCATATCGGGTTGTAGTACCAAATCTTACACAACGTCCATTTGCATCACCGTTCATACACACGCTTCCATATTTTTTATATATTATATTATAAATAATTTTACACTTATCACACATCGATCGCGAGACATCACCTTATCAGGTTAATCTTTTGTCATTGTAAAAGTAGGATGATCTAGTGCCTAAAAAAACGATCGGAAGCGATAAAATTCTTATAGGTATATGTAGAAACTAAAGATTGTTGATGAGTTATATATACCAAGCAGTCTTAAAACTTGTTTCACTTTCTTTTGCGAAATTATTTCCGTTTTAGCGTGTACCACTTTTTGTAGCATCATCAGAAGGGACTCCTTAGATTTCTTCTATCCAAATGTACCATCATTCGAGCCTTAACTGACAAACGTACAAGTCAGTGTGGTGAAATAGGATTCTTCATCGATGCCGCATAAAAGAGATCGTGAAGAGCCACAATTGCGATCGCGAATATTACATCGGTCTACGATAAGTAATCGCTCAAATCGATCCGTTTACGCGCAGACAGCCAGTCCCAATATAATGCACTTCTGACGTGGTTTACTTTGTTATACAGTGATCACATCTTGGTGCGTAGTGATAAGAGAGTCCGCGGGTGAATAACGTGTTCACCGCAACCATATCAGCTAGTGATTGTGATTGTAGAGATGCCACCTCTGCGTTTCTGCGTTTGAGTCGCACTTCTCCGCCGTGATACCACGTTGCGCGTGATATCTCGAGTCCACACACACGGGGATTCTGGTATGGCGTATCAGACCACCCTCCAAATGTCGCCACTTCTGGTTTTCGCTGCCATCGCAGATTTGCATTAACAGCGTCGTACCCTTGGCGTACACCGGTAAGGTCAGGCAGAGATCGTGATGCTTGATCAGGCCGTCCTTCGTGAGGCCCCATTCCTACAAAACATGTTGGTTTTGTAAAATTGTTTAAAATAATTAGTTAGTAGGCAAACTATTAGCAGAATGTCAGCAAATTGGCAGCAATTTCAATTAGAAAAAGTTAAAAAATTTGGTATCATTTAAGGTTCTACCAGCAGAGCTTGTGTAACAGAATTTGTTAGCAAATGTTTTACAAAATTTGTTCAAGCATACTGATTAGATCTCAATTATCATTTAATCCCATTTAGTGTAATTAAAACATACTCACCTGGTTGCCACCAGTGTCATGACAAGGATAAAGACCAACGTTTCCATCGAGAAGATGGCCCATGCTATCTAAACAGGCGGTACCCTGTTTTAAAGATCCTCCTGGACCACCCTCACTCGTAGGTATAACTAATTCGGGGTATACGTTCTTCAAATACCAACTGAAAGGCTTGCAATGTAGTCTTCGTTTTAGTTCCATTCTATCTTGTATGCTGAAAGACATAATGGTTTCGTATGATTAACATAATTTTATATTCTTCAAATAAACATATTGTCTTTAACTTAACAAATATACCTAAACTACAATTTGGAATTTAAAAAATATAATTGTTACGCGTATCCATGTGTTTGATATATCACAAACTTTGATGTGGTGTTAAATAATAAATACGATTAAATGGAGGAAAATCGGAGTATTGTCTAAAGTTTAAATGAGACGTCAGTGCGCATCCAGACTTACTTTCCATAAGGGATGTTTCGTGCTAACGGTACAGCGTTGTAGTAGAACTGCTTGTAGTCGTCCATCCATACTTCGGCGGCGCGCCTTGTGTTTCGAGCAAACACGTTTCCGCTGCCTCCGGGGAACGAGTAAGGATGACGTTTACGAAATACATGGCCCACACGTGAGCACGGGATAATCTCCAAGCTGCCACCGCATTGCCACACACGGAACGATATTTCTGAAAGAAAGTTACAAGTGCACGCAGTAAGTACGAATGTTGAACGTGAGAACAGAGGTGCCAAGGATATAGCAAGAAAAAATGCACAAATTTCCTTCTATATCACATTGCCTCATATTCTTCCTTTTCTCCAGATTGTGTATTACAGATTAAATATTTAAAAAACGTTAAAAAATATCTGTTAATTTCTATATAAAAACAGATTATATTATCTATGATATATAAATAAAGTAAAAGTTATGCTATTTTCTAAAAAAAATCTGTATAAAATTACATTTAAAAATATACATTTTACGGATAGGTACAAAGTTTTGTTAGCTATTGAAAAATACTATTTTAATGCAGAGATTTCATCAAAGTTATGCTAAACTGAAATAGCGTTAGACTTTTCCAAAGAAACTCAACAATTTCTCTTCTGTCCGAAATGGGGTCGTAGTTATTTCTAACTTCACACTTTCGACATATATTGGTTTGCTTGCCGTGTTTTCCACAAAGTTCTTACAAACTGCACACAAGATGGTAGTTTCTGTCAAAGAGTTCGTTTCCTTCGTACTTGAAAAGTGTAATAACAGATACAATACTTTTCTGATAACTTTCAAGGGAAGAGTTCTGCGACACACATTAATTTTACATATGTTATATTTTTAATTAAACATTTGTATATAAGTCTCTTATTTAAAACTGAATTTCAAAGAAAAAATTTTAATATAAAATTATCTTATAAAGTGTTTTTATGAAATACAAAATTAAATAAACATTGTTTATTATGTGCAATGAATAGAAATTGTATTGAGGAAGCAACCGCAATTCTCTGCAAACTTTCAAACTGAGTTATTTTCAAGCATTTATTTGCACAGCTGTCGGATACAGTGATGAATGAGCTAATATTTACACTGGTATGATGCTTTTTAATAAAATTTAATGGGAAGCACTCATTAAAACTTGTTGAGAAATTATAACTTTCAACTGTATATTGATCCAATAAAAAGTTTATTCTGCTGCAAAATATTCATCATGAGTTGCGCGTGCCTGATAACAAAGTTTTTGTAAAAGTACATTGGCCACCACAATGCAATATCTTTCGAAGCATATTTACAATTTTATTAAAATAAAATAATATTACCTTTACAAAATGGATATGAGAGAATATAAATATATCAATACATAGTGCTGATGCAAAACTATTCAAATAAAATATTTTTACATATTCTGTAAAAGTATTGTATAATATAACACGATTAAAAGAATTTAATTATACACAAGAATGTACGTGCAGCTCTTCAAACTTTCCAAATACTTTGTACTTTGTACATAAAACTGTAAATAGTCTTACCGAGATTTTCGCCGCCCCAAACATCCATCTGAGTATCGTATTTGCCGAGTTTCTCAAAGTACGCTTTGTTGATGACAAATAGTCCACCAGCAATCATAGGGGTTCTAATAGCTTGTGTCGGATCCTTTTGTCTCGCCTGTCGTTCCGTCTGGCTGAGATATTCCCATTTAAAGACTAAACTCCAATCGAAACCACCCCTGAGATCGGCGGAAGCTCCTAGAAACGAGATAAAATATGTCTTTCGTTCGGATATTTTAAATTATTTACAACATAGAATACAAATTATCGTTGTACACAGAGAAAAATAGTTAAAAAAATTTTATTTTACAAAGATTAGTAAAAAATTCTAGCTATTTTTGCTATGACAAACATTACTTGCCTAAAAGTAAAATCAGTAGTGTAAAATAAAAAGTACATTACAATTAAGGAGGCAAATACGCCGTGCAGAAGTCAGAAAAAATAGAAGGAATGGGGATAATTTTCCGGCAACTACTCTGTTACATGCCTTTACATTATATTAGTATTATGTTATGATTTCAGGTTTTTATTGATAGTTACAACTCACAATAATTTCGATTTGTCACTGTAATAAGTAGCGTCATCATAAAGTACATTATAATTAACATAAAACGATTATTGTAGGATGTGTAAAAGACTTAGTGGTTATTTCATGATACATATACTAGCTATACGACGATTGTTGATTTACCAGAAAAATAAAGTAAATTTTACATGAGTGGTCCCTATATGAACCTGTCAATTCCATAAACTTTACTAGAATTTTAGTTACTTTATACTTTTCTCTACATAGACACATGCAATTTTAGAGAATGTCGATTTCTACTATTGATATTCACCGATATATTGGAAAGTATCCATGCTGATTACATCGATCACAGGACATACTACTCGGGTTGGGTCTTCAGCCACTCTTTCCAAGAGTGGTTCGAGCCAATCGGCATTGCATTCACAATGCGAATCTAAAAACGTTAATACATTCGCGGTAGCTGCATCTGCACCGCGGACACGAGATCTCATTAGGCCTTCTCTCTTCTCATTTCGGATCACACGAACTTTATGAATTCGCGATAGCTCTTCGCCATCCTCCGCTGCAAATAGATCAATCAATTTTTATTGCCATATGACATTTTTAATTTTACACTAATTTAACTCAACTTGTGTTTTATTGTAAAATACTTATTATTCTGAAAATGTTGTTATCCGTTTGTTATTTCGATCAAAGCCATCAAATATAATTTTTTGTTAAACAAAGATTAATTCCAGATTGTAAGTAAATTAAGCATGTAAAAAAAGTTAAAATTCTAAAATCATAATTTAATGACATTCTGTTTAGAATAGTAAACGTTATATATAAGTGATGAAATAGTCACAAGTTATCTTTTAATGATATTAAATGTGATATTAAATGTAATATATCTATAATATCAAATATAATTTTCTGTAATTGTGTTTAATATTACATTAAACACAATTATATAGATATACATATAATTAAAATTTTAATTACATTAAATTGCATTATACTATATGTAATATTATCTTCGTAGTGACTTGATCCGCGGTGAGTAATTCACTCGTTCCTAACTCTGTGTATCAGATATTATAATAGTTCATTTTATATTGTATTGATTGTTCATTATAGTTTATAAATTAACTAAAGAACATAATTTAAAATCTGCTTAAAAAGAAATAATATTACATTTTTCAAAAACTCGAACTAATTAATTAATATATAAAACTACTTACGATGATCGCTGAAATCGTCCACTAAAATGATTTCCTTGATTAAATGTTCGGGACTTCTGTTTAGCACACTAAAAGCAAAAGTAAAACTTCAAAGTTAAATCGTATTATAATCTTTTATCAATACATTTACCAATACTACTATTATTTTAACGTTTTTACTATTTTATAATTTCAGAAATTTTGTAGATAATTTAAATAAGATTAAATAATTAAATCTAAGAAATGTTACATAGCAATTGTTTTATCAATTTTTTTCATTGTATACATTTTACTGTTAATTACAGTAATATTTTATTAAATGTTAATATTGAAATAAGATCAATTTTTAACGTAATACGCTTTTTCTTGAGATTCGATTTAAAAGCCCGATATGCCATTTCTTTACTGAATTACTATCATTCACTTCTATATAAATTTTTCCGGACGATTAACGTCGAATAAACTGAGATTAAGAGAAGAACAGAAGCTTCGGGAATTGTCCCATTGAATCTTTTATCAAAGTTTCGAGGACTTAGTGCACCACTTGTCCCTTGTTTGAACGTTCTCGTATTGCCCCGTCCCATTCTGTTCGTGAGTTTAGAATTAAGAGGATTGTGTGTCGCAAATAATTAGAGTTCTTTCCAATTAATTAAAACCATCTCCTTATATTAATGGAAAAAGTTTAACTTTATGGTTATTTCTTAAGTTGATCGTAAATGTCAATAATTTTATCGTAATTGTATTGATAAAACAATAAAATATTATTTTATAAAAATTTCTTTTCGGTTGTTAAGATATCGTGTATATCGCTTAATGTTTAAAAGAACTTTGACAAGATGTGAAATCGATCGTGCAGAATTTCGTGCGTCGCATCGAGATGGTGGTAAAATGTGGCCTCGTCGCGGTAATTAAGACTTCCTTTTAATTTCATCGACCTAACGCGATAGAGCCGATATATTTTCTTGACGCCGCCATGTTACAGACTTAAATAAATTTTCCGACTCTTGCCTGCTTCCTTCTTCCGGTTCGACGAGAGAACTTCGAGCAACTTTTGCACGGAGGTTACCTCCGGCGAGTAATGTGGCTCGTACTTTCCTTTACTCGGCGGGATGTCGCGTAATAAAAAAAAAGCTTTAATTAATACAAGGCGCTTATGAGAAAACGTAGTGATTTATGCTTCTAAATAGACGATAAATGATACTAATAAAATAGACAGAATTAATTAAAAGTATGTACAAAACGAAATATTTTAGTCGCTGAAGTTGAAGAATAAAATTGGAAGAATTGCGTAGTTAAGGGATCGAAACCTAGTAAAGCCATAAACCTCTGAAAAATCTACTATTCTTTTCGGTTCATTTATTCTTCATTACATAAAAAAGTAAGATGCTTTAAAAGAATATAAATATAAGTTGAAAGTTTCACACATTTGTAATTTTAACAAATTAAAAATTGAAACGAGATTAATTAAACCATCATTAGCCAACTTTGTATTAACCATCAGAATAAAAAATCAAAATGATTTTTTTCCGTATATATTCTGACGCTCTTCTTATATTGAAGATCTTTCGAATTCTTCGGTACGTCACGTCTGTGTGTACAAGCGCATAATAAACATGATGAATAAAACGATGGAACGACGATTAGGAAATTCCATTGCTATCGGCCATTTCCGACTCGAATTGAGAATCCTCACGCGCTTCCCGCAACCCGTTGATGCATCGAGAATTGAAGATCGCCATGTTGTACGTACCATCTATCTACGATCGCATGAGAATTTGCCCATTGACAATTACTTTACATTTGATTACAGAGATATTTGCATATTTTTTTTGTATTAATACAGTCTTTATTTGCGGAATTTATTCAATCCTTTTGTTCTTACAAAATTGTTTGTTTTTACAAATAAATTTTATTTCTTTTTTAAACAAAAAAGAAATATGTAAATTTATTTATGTGTTTATTTTATTTACGTTTAAAATATGTAAAATAATAAAAAGCTAAAAAATAATAGATTTAAATGTTGAGCGTAATTGTTTCACATTTTACGTAAAACAAAGTTGTTTCTAACTTACCTGACGACAGTTCTGAGTAGCGTAGACCGTGCCTCGTTGTGGAAAGTAATTATAACGGAAGTCGGTGGCAGATCCTGTCTCCATTGTTTCATCCTACACCTGTAACGAGAAAATTGTATAATTATAGTAGTTGCTTGGATATCATAGATAAATTTATATAGATGGTATATATATATATATAAATTAAGATTAATGAATGAATAACAAGACTCTATATTTATCACATTTATATTATTAGTGTAATACAGATGTTGTTCTTTAATCTTTCAATACAGATTTACCGAATATACAAACAATAATAAACATAGCAATCATTAATCGTGCGCGCGCGCGCGCGTAAAAATAAAAACAACAAACAATTCTAGAATAAAATTCATAAAAATCTGCAATTTTGTCGTGGGATTAACGTTATGTTGTCAGGCAAATGGCCAGCGTTTCCATTATCGCGAGACTGATTTTTCAATACAATATTAGATTTCAGTAATATCGTTTAACCCTCAAACTGCTTCAGTGAATCACATTTTTGCGTACTAACGTGCTTATCAATATGTTCTACGAAATTATTTTTCGATTTTATGGTTAACAACGGATAACATCGCATTAGTAATTAACGTTTCAATATTAGCTGTAGCTTCAATTGATGTAATTATGTTATCAGTAAATATTGATTGCTTATCACTGTTTATATATGCAATTTCAGCAAAGTTTACATAAAATCAAATGACTATATTTTCGGATTAATGACTAATTAAAATACAATGTGAACGGGAATGCAAAAGCAATATTTGGTTTTTTAATATTTTTTTTATCATTATGGCCGTAATAAAAAGAAAAGAAAAAAAAATCGAAATAGTGATAACCGTGGACTTGAGAAGTGGCCTAACTGCTAGAAGTTACGCTTGAAGAGAAGAAAAGAGAAGATAAAGAAAGAACTAAAAGGACGATCCCATTTGGGGTACTGAGCTGGCGCACAGAGAGGGTACATAAACGCGGCCAGACGACCAGAACGATCCCAATATGTCAGCCCCTCTTTGCCGAGATAAACTCGCGGGACGTGAGTTGAATGCAGTTATCTCGGTGCATAGGTGCGCGAATGCACTTTTTCGCACCGTCGCGCGTCAAACGAGATCGCGAAAATTTTGCACCACCGTCGGAAGCTACTACCTCTCGTATGCGAGACATCGCTGCTGGATGGAAAGATGACCGGTAAACACGTGACTGCGATTTATTCATCCCCAAAGAGAGTCAAATACGGTCTTTTTGAAATAAAACAACGCGACATTTTGTGTATTGCAAGAGGAATATACTATAATACCATCTACGCGTATTTTGCACTATGTAAAACGGGATTAAGATTTCTTTAGCTATTTATTGATCTCAATTCTCTGTAATTATATTTTTACTCCCTCCGACTGCAATTAGGATCTTTTTTGTCCAATCCAAGTTTTTTTTAACGTTCTAGGTTAGATTTTTAAATAAATGTGGAAGAGAGTTCAAAGTTATTTTTCGACATCTTGTAATCTTACGAAATTTCTCCCTTTTTTATTTCAGAGAAATTTGAATAAAATTTTCTCAAAACGAGCTCAAATTGCAAATGGAGAGTTAATCAACACCATAAATAATTTGTACTGTAATCTAATTAGCCATATTTAACAAGTAATTAGTAAAATACTCTGCTATAGATTTAATCTATAGCAGAGTATTTTTAATGCTGTGTTGTCAATTATCACTTCACTAAATTACAAGTCAAAGTTTTATTCATCGTTATACTTTTATTCAGGTGTAATCAGGCGACTCGACGAGTGACGGACAAGTTCGGTAATGAGTAATTTAGATATTCATCACCGTAGTTATCCTCTTTCAGACGCCTCCGCTTCGTCGCTTCGCTCCCCGAGGCGGTGCAGGAAAATCGACAAATTAATTCGGGAGACCATAATTCCACATTAAAGTCAGTTAGTCTCTACGGCGTCATGTTTGCCGACAACAAAATTGTGCGCGCGAGCCTTAAAGCAACTCCGGCAGATGAGACGAATCATCCGGACGGTTTAATTCGAAACTTCAATTTAGGATCCACTCCGCACCACTATCCGCTAAAGTGGATAACGCGCGGCCAGTCTGTGCGATTTTATTGAACGCTCGATCGCATATACGATGTTTCACGAGCACATGTGTATGTACATGCTTGCGAATTGACCATTGTCAGAGAATGCGTCCTACAAGATAGAAAGAGAGAAGGAAAGAGAATGGAATGCATCTGTGAAAGCAGTACAGAGTATTGCAATTAAAATAAATCGATAGCAATTATTATCCTGTAAAAAGTGATTGATTTGAAGAAATAATATCCAATAATATTGATTTTTTAAATAAATATATATAATCCGTTCGATCATTTTCCAAAATAATTATTGCTTTAGCAGTAAGATACATTAAGATTATTTTTGTTAAAAACTTGGAATCTATTAAGCATAAATAAAGAAGTTTACATTCTAGATTAGCTCTAAATCAAGCACAATAAATTTTTATTACAAAAATCATAACAATATAACATCATAATTTATTATTGGAAATATAATGTTATAATTTATTCTAATTTTTAATTTTGTATTTCTTGCATTCTATTGAAGTGCTTAAAGATTAAGATGTTTGTGTAAAAGTGGCAACTGTGAGCGTAAAAAAAAGACCAAAAAAATGCATAAAGGACACAAAACGAAATTAGGACGTAACGTTTCGGTGCTTTACGAAAGTAGAGTCTTTTTTCCTCGAAAAACCTCCGTACGTTGCACGCTTCGTGAACGAACTCGCACGGAACTGGATATTAAATTTTTAATCCATCACCGAAGTGAGAACAAATATTCCGGAGCAAAAAAGCAGTACCAAAAACGCGACAATTGAGTTTCTGCTTTCAATTCAATTTAAGTGATTATTTAAGTGTGAGTTATTTTTATCGTGATTTATTCTTTTAAAAAATGGCTGTATACTAATCCTAGTAAATAAAGATGAAATATACACACACACAAATCGAAAAATATATATATGATTCTTATTTAAAACCTTAATATAAGTGCAATACTATTACTTTAATATAACGTAACATCAAAAATAGTTACTACTAGAAGTGGTAGTGGTACACAGGGTGTTCCATAATAACCGCAGAAGCCGGCACGTACATATTCCTCATAAAAAAGTGAATTTTTAATTCAATTTCATAATTCTCAGTTTAATAAAAACAAGATCGAATTAAGTACCAATTTATTACTTATTGTTAAATAATAATATTGCAACGAAAAATCATAGCAGGCAACATCGCAAGATAGAGGATGTTGTGCTGAACGATTGCGAATGAGAAAATGTGATCTATTTTTGACATTGCAAATAAATATTACATGAAAAAAACAATTTTATTGAATATAGAGATCTGAAAATAATTTTATTGGAATATCAAAATAATTTTGTTAAAAACTCATACTCGTTAACTAAAATACCAACATTTTTTACAATATATTTGCTCATTATTTGTTATTTTTCAACATAATTATTTTAGTGATCCAACAAAATTATTTTCAGATCAGTATATCCAGTAAAATTTGAGATCTTTCGGCAAAATCGTTCTTTTTGTGATGGAGAATATATTGAAGTGCTATCTTATGTATAGATACCGCAATTCCAGGGATTTTTTAATCATCCTTTCTCATCGTTCATTATAAACTCCGCTGAGTGTGCGCTGATTTCATCGCAAATTCGATGTGTTACATTTACGGACATTCTTTTTAATACGTGGATAGAAGTTTAATGGGGCGACACATTAATCGCGCGTGATTTTGTGTCGCATTGCAAAACGCATTGAGCGGCTTGGCGAATGCGCAAATCGCGTTATCGCCAAAAATCATGTTACTCCTGGACATTGCGCGCTCTCGAATCGTGTTTTGTCCGTGCGCTGAACGTTAATTTCGGAAAATGCAAAAAGCATTCCCATGCTAGCTGCAAAAGCGCGTTACCGACGAGATTGCATCCTATGAAATCAGAGTGCATCGCGTCCTGGTTTACAGATCTGTTTGATGTCACGAAAAACGAGGAGGTTGCAGGAGAAAGAGGAGAAGGAAAAGGAAGGAGTGGTACGCCGCACAAAGTTTCAGACGATACATTGTTGTTGGCTACAGTTTTAACGCCGCTCCTAATGGATTACACACGTCTTACGGACAGCGTAAAATGACAAACATTTTATACAGCACTCGCAAGAACGCACACTTCTCCTTTTTTCGACTACACTTTGTACGATGAGTTCCTGAAGAAGGTGTAGACCATTATACCATATTGAGAGAAAAGACATAGGACGAATAAAAAATACGGTCCAGACGGTTTTTCGTATCTAATTATTTTTCTTATAAATATGGAACAAAAGCAAACTAAATATGTCGAGAAAATGATCCATTAATTTTTGATAAACGTTGATAACGCTTCTCGAAAATTTATTTTGCTCCGTGCGCGACAATAATTTCTGAAAGCGTCGAATATAGGTTTCCTCTGTTTCTGGGAATTCTGGGTTCCATAAGTCTCGATTCTTGTGACGTATTGAAGACATCACTGATTACTTTTCCATTTGCGGTTGACGGGCACGAAATGCGCTGCGTAACTCCCGTGGGTGCGAAACGCCCAAAGCTAACGAGCTGCTCGTCGTCGTTCTCTGTCACGGGAGACCACTTCTGCATTGTACGACACGCTCGAACGGATTGCGCCGGTACGCAAATATTATTTTAACGAAGTTACGGGGCTATCGAACCCATTGGCGGTCCGGTCACGCGAGTGTTAGTATCGATTTTCTCTTTCGTTCATATGAATAGTCTGTAGAGCAACCGTTTTTAAAACACAGACGCACTTACGAGAAAACGTTCTCCACATCCGTTTTTTGGACAGTTTCCGAAAACATTGCGCAGTAAAATAAAAGACATTCGTTTTTTTATATACACATACTTTATTTGTATAACTTTTATGGGTTGGGAAAACACTCGACGTCAACATGACATGTGTGACATATGCAAAACTTGACGTTTTAAATGCTTTTATAGATTTTTTAGGAAGCGTCAACACAAATCTTTTTCCCT